GCCCCTCTTGCTCTGCTCATCCTCGTTGTATAGTATGTTGAACGAAATGATGCCGCCACAGTTACTTCTGTCCTAAACATAACAACAACAACAAAACAGTTATGCACATCTACATTTTTCCCATCGATTTTATAGACTTCGAAACCATTCAAGAACGATTCACATTGGAGTTTCACCCGTGACGTAAAACTCCGTGAAAAACGCGATATTCGCGGTGATATGCAGTGGCTACCCGAAACCACAGAGCCGCATGGAAATATCTAAGGTCACTCTGTGAAAGATTCAAACCAGGTCCGAAACAAACACTTACGTATATCTACATTTTTCTTCAGCTGCGACCCTTCAAAAACGTTGGTGTCAATCGATTCACATTCGAGCTGATTTTCGAACTCATAAAAAATATTGAATATACACTTTCCATAACAGTTTAATCCACCCTAGAGTTTCACCACCCTAATGATATGAAAAATATATTTCACGACTACTGCATATCACCGCGAATATCGCCTAGTTTTTCACGACGAGTTTTACGACGCCACTTCACGTAAAACGGGTAATCGTGGAACTCCACAACGCCCAAGCCCCACCTTAGGCCCCAATATATGAATTTTGCTGCACTCGGAGAGCCTCTCCGTAAGTTCTCTCGCCATCCTTCTTTCCGTATCAGCAATCCTATCATGGTCCAACATACTGTGCAAATGATATACCGCACCCGCCCGAATACACCCAAGAATATCAGGGGTACCTGTATGAACTTTCTAACTAATATAACTACACACATATCGTTTTACCCGCTTCCTCCCTCTCCTCGTGATTCTGTATATAACTGTGTGCAACCGGGCTTACATAGAAAACCACTCCACCACCACACACAGCGGGTACCACGTTTGTTTGGTGTCTCTTTTTGCACAACAACAAACCACTACTCCCCGGACCTCCGAGGAGTTTATGCGGCGATACGAAGGCAAAGTCGATGTAGCCTTGCGGGTGTGATACTGGATTCATATCAATCTGTGATAACATAGATTTTAGAAATACAAAAATCGCTTCGCTCCGCTTACTTTTATTTTACTACTCGCTGCTGCTAGATCCCAACAGGCAATACCGTTGTATGAATGTATCAACGTAGATACACTCGGGATCTGATCACAGACATAAAAATGGAGTTTTATGTGAAGTGAATCAAAAAATACTTTGCGAGTTTCACCGAGCGAACCACCCATTTTATGAGAACTCCATCATCGTGTTTTACGCGTTTGGCTCACAAGCGTTTTCCACCACTTGAAATGTGAAATATATTTTTCACTACTGTTTTTCATATCACTAGAGTGAAACTCTGAAAATTCAACCTAATCCTAGTGTTGGAGGAATATATGTTCGTTTTTCACATGAAGACTTTCCAAAGCTCATCACACGAAATCGAGAAGAAGTCTGCAAAAAAAACCAACGAGAATTTCACAATTTTCCCTCAAAATTGCTATTTTGTCACCAACACATGTAGTTGACCATAAACGCCCCAACGGTAAAAAAATTTCGACTATCATACTCCTTGAAAAAAAAACTAAAATAATATCATACTACGAATTCTCACATACTTCTCTGTAGAATTTTGGAGTTTCACAATCACCCGTTTTACGTGAAGTGGCGTCGTAAAACTCGTCGTGAAAAACGCGATATTCGTGGAAATATGTTTTTCATATCACTAGGGTG